TTTCTTTTTAAAAAGGAATTAAAAAACCTTTTTACTAGTGCTCAAAAGTAATTTAACATAATTATCCCAAAATACTGATATAAAGTAACAGTGCTGCATACTCAGTAACTCCCACCCAGAAATCCTATTTTTGACAATGCTATTTCTGGCCTTTGTTCTTTTTTTTTTTGTTGTTGATGAATGAATACAATCAGAATATCAGGGCAACAAAACAAAAAAAAAAAAAAGGGAGAACCATCGTGCTTAATTTCAGTATTAATTTAGCAGTGCTTTGGGGAGTTTGCAAAGTGTTAATGAAAATTTTGAAGGGATTACCTGGTAATGAGGTGTAAAAATTTTACAACTCTAATACCAAATACATGCTCTGCCTATGTTAGAGAGGAACATGAGAGACTGAAGTAGAAATAATTAGAAAAGCTTGCCTCCTTCTAGTATTTTTCATTTTACAACACAACTTGAATATTGAGATGAAGCATGACTATTTTCTTTTTTAATTTTTATATTCATGACATTCTAATACTGCAGATAAATTTGTACTTTTCAGTCACATATTAAACATAGTTCAGTATTCTATAATTGCAATATATTTATATAAATTGACTTCGTAGTGAACACCTGAAGTATTTCAAACTTATATCTAGGTTTTGGAAGAAGATTAACACGTGATGATTCCAAACAGAATATTTTTTTTTTTCTGTAGATCCTAAGAATTAACCAAGTCATTTCTGTTAAGAGATGCTCTCTTAGAAATTCTAGAAGTTTGCCAGCTACTGAGGCTCTTGACAGCTTTTCAGGTTGCATTTAATTCCATTCCTAACAAGCAAATAACAACAGGAATAAGCAATTCTAGCCAACAAAAGAATCCCAAACGCTGAAAGGGAGTGACCTACTTGTGCCTAAGCTGCAGCAGTTTATGGGGAAGTCCTCTGGTCACACATACTGTTAAAAAAAAAATCTTATCAGGAATGTAATAACTATGGCTGGGGTTCATGAGGGCTAGTTTCTTATCAAGTCACATGCCTTGACACTTCCAGCACAGTGACACATTTGGGTATGGATTTCTTGAGATTCACTTAACAATATCAGCAGTGGGAAAAGGTACCAAGGAACGCTCTGAAGATGGGAAGGCACTGGAGTGAGTTCTGCAAGGTACAGAAAGCAATTTTGTGTATAAATACAAGGAAGATACAGGACAAAACCCGTCTTACCTGGATGGTGATAGTTAGTCCATATGTAAACACAATGAGCAGATATGCTTATGAGGCAAAGAGCTAAAAATGTGCTATGAATCATGTCATCTTTTTTTTGGAGAGGCCAAGAGCAGAAATGCTTGTCCTCCTGCACAGCTTCTGGTTCCTACGTGGCACGTGGGCGATGGGAACTCGCACAGCCGATGTGAAGACTTCTGTGCTCTCTGGTCAGCGTCAAATGCACCTGATAAGTACAAACGTGTGCCTTCACCAGCATTCCCACAGATGTGTGTGCTCATGGGAGACTCCTGAAATGTGTACAAACCCTTCTCCTTGCATGTATCCCAACAAGGTGTCACAGCTTCTCGTTTTTTTTTCTTTTCTTTCCAGGGACACACTGATAGTCACATGTACCAACAGTGCCACAAGTATATTTGCAGGTTTTGTCATCTTCTCAGTTATTGGCTTCATGGCAAATGAACTCAAAGTGAATATTGAAGCTGTGGCAGACCAAGGTAGGGTACACTGGCATTTTGTTACTTGGGCAGGCCCCCAGTGGCACCTTCAGCTCTGTTATTAATGATGGCATTGATACTGAGGGAGGGAATTATGGCTTCAGACTGGTGTGGATTAATAAACCACATGCAGGCATTTCTGTACACTGGGAAGTCAAAATCTTCCTCAAAACCTGTTTATCACTTGTTTGGTAAGAGAAGGAGGGAAGCTGAGACTCATTTCAAATCTTTGTGTAAATGACTGATGGAGGGTAGCGTGGGATGGTCCCTTCTGACAGTGTGAGGGATTATTGGCCTTTTCATTTGTCTCTGCTGTTGTTTGCCAAATCCTCTTCAAGGTAAAAGTTGTTTCTCCTGGTGGGAATTTTGGATGGGAGGGGGGTGGCCTTTGTGGTGTAGAAGGTTGGAGAAATATGGCATGAAAGGTGGACTGAGCTTCTGAACTGTGGCAAGCAAGGAGATGCCTCCATGGGGAAGTAAAGAACTGATTAGATCTTCATTAGTGAAGTGAGATGGTTACAAGCAGGGATCTGAAAGGTCCTAATTAGCAGAGCTGAACACCACTATGCCAACTAAACCCCAGCTCCAAGTGCCGGTTGTTCCTTGAACACTTCCAGGGATGGTGACCTCATCATCTCCCTGGGCAGCCCCTCCCAGTGTTTCACAACAACCCCTTCAGGGAACAAAAAATTCTTCCTGATGTCCAGCCCTGAGCCTCCCCTGGCACAGCCTGAGACTGTGTTCTCTCATCCTGTCACTGCTTGCCCAGGAGAAGAGGAAGGGAAGAGCTTTTGGGCTGAGAGCCAGAGAAGTTATAATCCTACCAAATTCTGACAATCATTTTAGAGGGATGGCATAGAGGGATACAGAGTCTGAGAGGAGAATTTCAGAGTGTGGTCAGCTGATAAACTATTTCTTGACAGCAAGTAATAGGGGATACTGAGCTTGCTGGCAAATGTAATGTCAGTTCAGTGTTCAGTGCCTCATCTCTTCTTTTTGGTCTGCCAGTCACTAAGTGGCAACAGAAAAGTTTCATTTTTTCCCCCCAGTTTTCTGGACAGATTAGACCACTATGTTTAAAAAACTCCATGTGAGGCCAGGTGTTTTTAGGAGTGATTAGTTCACGTTAGTATTTTTATTTTAGACTTTACCTCCATTCTGGAACAAACAAAACAAAGCCCAAAAGCTAAATAAACCAAAAGCTAAATAAACCACACTGCACTCACCAGAGTTATTTGTAAGGGATTAAAGAAGCTGTGCCTGAGTGGAGCTGCAGTGGAAGCTCCAAAGAGATGGGCAGAGGTGGGATGGAAACACAGAACTAGTGGTGGAGGAAACACTTGGTTCAGCTGGTTCATGCATCTCCCTGGAGATGGTGTAAAATTTTAAGTTCTCAAGTTGGTTGGGTTTTTTTTGTTTGTTTTTGTTTTGTTTTGTTTGTTGGTTTGTTTGTTTGTTTTCAGTGAAAGAGAAAAAAAGCCAAAATGATGGTGAAACATTATCTCCCTTCAAATTTTCAAAACCTTGAATGAAAATGTTAATGGAAACAGGAAGAGTTTTTTCCTTTTTTTTCCTCCTAAAATATTAATCAAAAAA